TGGTTTGAAACCCCTTTGATTGCGCTACAAATGAAGTACCTTATTATATTACATTTTGCTAATATCTTAAGCATTAACTGCAGTTTTTGTTTGATCTCAGAGCAGGAAAAAGTATAATATCAGCTGTATAGGACCGATCAAACCTACTTGATGTGTGGCTGCAGGCCGGGCTGTTCTTCATAATCTTCTATTAAAAACGGTAGGTTCTTGGCCCAGTGGTTCTTAAAGTTTCCCGGTAAGTCCTGGTCCACGTTGTACTCTGCTACCGGGATGTCAAGGTGGGAGTGCAGGTAGCGAGAGTACTCTGGTGGGGAAATAAATGCAAGATATCATTTAAAATGTACTGGTTTGGTTTGTAGTTATAGTAACTGTCTGCTGCTTATGGTTTCTTTTATAGGGATAACTAAAAGGGAATGTGTGGACACTGACCTCTGAGGTATTTGACTTTGAGGTATTCAGAGCTGGCCTTCTGTCCCAGCAGAGGGTCGTTCAGCATGACTTTAGTCTGAGCTTTGATGCCCTCGTAGAACTGACCCATCGCCACGTGACTCAACCCCTTCATGTACTGACACACCTCGTTGTACGGCTCCAGCTGAAGACACCTCTGCAGCAGAGAAATACAAAGGGACCAAACACAGAAGAACAATAAGAAGGGTTGGACTGAAAAAAGATGGGTTGTGTTATTAGCCAACCTAAGGTATACAGAAGTTCAATATTGAATTTTTTTTGCTGCAAGGGGTCTCACATTTACAACAATATCAAAAGATGTAGTGACACGTTGATGTAGTGAACTAGTGTGGTATCATGGGAGCTGTTGTTTTCACCCCCATTGTTGTCATTGTAGTTGTAAGCATTATTCCATTGTTCATCATTCAGGAGATGTTTACCAACAGCTGGATAAGATGGTTATAACATACAATTAAGCATTTATGGGTTTAAAATCAGTTTTTCTTGGACTCTGTGCAACAGTGTGTGCAACAAATGGAGATGTGCCAACAAAATATAGCTAAAAACTCAATTTTAAAGTGGAATAATTACGTTACCATTATATTAAACTTATTATTATTTTTCTAGGCTGGAAAATGTGTGGAAATATTTGGAATAATGTTTTCTAACAACTAAACCAAATGTATAACGCAGCCGTTTTGAGACCCTTTAATGTGACATTTTACATATTATAATTCTAAATCTGCAGTTTAACGAGTATAAGGCCCACACAATTAATATAATAGCCATATAATTAACAGTGTAATCCCCCCCCCCCCC